CCCCCCCCCCGAGTGCACAAATTTTTGTGCCCCAGGCCTCTAGTATAAGGATATAACACAGCGATTGTTCTAAATAGTTATAAGAAAATGTCAAAAACGATAACTCTCAGAAACTGGTAGCATACTACACACGAGAATGGGTGGTTTTGTTTATGGAACGTTCTACCAGCCCATCATTTCATTCACAGGTAGGAACCTGTCCATATAGCCACGTTCTTCACCAAGTGGATAAGCAAGGAAACAGCAGTAACTGGAATTTCGTCGCCACATTTCTTCTTTAGGTCCCGTTCCCCGCGGAGCCACCCCCAGTGATGCCTCTGAGCAGCCTCTGAGCATTGTTCTGTTCTGTTCCCTCTTTCCGCAGAGCAGGGATGAGAGCGTACCCTTAGGGTTGCCACAGGGTCACATAAGGAGGACAGAGCCCTGAGCCTTCAGGCGCCCGTAGAGGTTGCCATCACCCGCCCACCCCTGCGCTACCTGATCCTCAGGTTCAGACAACAGGAACTAGATTATCCCACCCCCGCCTGTCTGTTCACTAGCCGTTGCCCCGTGGCCACTTAACTGTATTTAAAGTTTCAGCAAACACAGGTTCTGGTTTATTCAGAACTGTTACATCGTCCACAGTGAGGTCATGGTGTCGCTGGGCTGGGCAGTGTGGCCAGTAGGAGTCATGAGCATAGAATTTGATGCCACTCTCTACTTAGAGAAAGAGTTGGCATTTTGTTCAGTTTTGTTTTCCCTCATACTTGGCTGATGTTTTCCATTAACTATCTACCCTGTGGGTGGATGTGTTCACCTTTACCAAGACGAGTCGGACCTGCTCGAGGCCCTGCCCGCCGCCATGCAGTCAGCCCTCGCCGTGGACATGAACTTCAGCATCCTCAGCAACATCGACCTGTTCAAGGCAAGTGCTTCGCAATGGGTAGAAAGACACCATCACTGTTTCTCTGTAAAGTCTAAGCTCTTGCTGTACGCAATATTTATGGTTTTCTCCCTACATGTTAACAAAATCAAAATGATCTGGAGAATTTATGTGGAACTAGAGTCAAATAAACGCTGGGTCTCCCCTCAGCAGATGCCTTATTCTTTGGAAGCCTCTCTCTCCTGAAGGGCCAAAGAGAAAGACTTCCTCGGGCTCTTCCTGCGCCATTTAAACACCATCAGACCCTGCGTCTGTCTGCTGCTCCATCTTCCGTCCTCCCCTTGTGTTGTTGGATGTGTGTGGGCCTCGACAGGTGGCCCAAACTTCCTCTGCAGGGCCTGACGATCAGAGAGCCCTGCCTACCCTGTCTCCTGTTACAGATGCTCCTGAGCGAAACTTTTTGATGCCCAATTCTAATTTAGAGGCTATAAAAATGCATAGCAAAGTTTTAACTTTTTGAATGTTTTTCATTTTAGCGCCCTCTTTTTTACCTTGATATATTTTATTTTTTAATTTATTTTATTATTGAGAGAATTACAGATGTCCCCCATTTTCCCCCCTTTGTCCCCATCCACCCGCTCCCACCCCATCCCAGGCCTTCACCTGTCTATTGTCTGTGTCCATGGGCTATGACTAATTTGTGCTTCTAAATCCCTTCACCTTTTTCACCCATCCCCCCACACCCCTCCCATTTGGCAACTGTCAAAAATGTTGTGTTTCTGTTCTGCTTGTTCATTTATTTTGAATTTTAGATTCAATTGTTGATAGATATGTATATACTGCTATTTTATTATTCCTATTCTTGATTTTTTTTTCTCTTCTTATTCTTAAAGAAGATCCTTTAATATTTTATGTAGTACTGGTTTGGTGGTGATGAACTCCTTTAGCTTTTTCTTATCTGTGAAGCTCTTTATCTGACCCTCAATTCTAAATGATAGCTTTGGTGAGTAGAGTAATCTTGGTTGTAGGTCCTTGCTTTTCATCACTTTGAATATTTTCTTGCCACTCCCTTCTGGCCTGCAAAGTTTCTATTGAGAAATCAGATGACAGTCAGATGGGCACTCCCTTGTAGGTAACTAACTGTTTTTCCCTTGCTGCTTTTAAGATTCTCTCTTTGTCTTTAACCTTTGGCATTTTAGTTATCATGTGTCTTGGTGTAGGCCTCTTTGGATTTATCTTGTTTGGGATTCTCTTTGACATGTTTCTTTGTCTCCACATTTTGCTGCTTTTCTGTGTTTGTTTCTATGTATTAGGTAGATCTGCTAAATCTCCCAAACTAGGTACAGTGGCCTTATGTAGTAGATGTCCTGGAGGGCCCAGTGGCTCAGCCTCCCCTGTCACCTGATCTGGGCACTCCAGGTGCACCCCTGTGTGAGCTGTGTGCACTGTCATATTGTAGTTGAGCCTTGATTTATGTTGGTGTCACCGGGAGGAATTGACCCCCAGGCCAATCAGTAGCAAGGATCAGCTGCGACTACAACGGAAGAGCTGCTGTGTAGGAGCCAACCCTATGGAGCAGGCCTTGTTACAGTGGGGGCTTTGGTGCTCACCGAGTCCACCCCTTGTTTGTTATAAATATTTCTCTCTTTTCCACATCCAGCGTGGCTAGAGAGTGGTCTGGTTCCTGAGTAGGGACGGCTGGGGATTGAGAAAATGAAAGAAGAGACAGACACAGAGATAGAAGGAAAAAGCTGGGGCCGGATGGGACAGCTGTCCTCTGATGGAGAGACTGTGACCCAGAGCCGATACAGTGCATTTATTTTATACAGCAAAATACCAGGAAGTTTTACTAAAGCCCAAGACATAGGAGATTATGTGCATTTTTGTGGCTTCTTTGTAATCGTCACTTCTGGGTGGGCCCAGATAATCATCGTGTTTGTTCCTGGTGCTTGGCTGAATTTAGATAATGAAACCCACCCCCTGGTGCCTGAGCTGAAGGTCAGGCTGACAACACACCTGCCTCTGGCAAGTTGTATTTCCAGGACGTGGCTCTGCCAATGCCACTGATTCGGCTGACAATAATTAAAGAAATGCCTATGTGCCTTCCCAGGCGCTCTCTACAGTTCGTGTCACTTGTGGAGGTGGTACAGTTGTAATCTGATGTGGTTGAAGTGACCACCTGGTGCACTGGGAAGTACAAAGTCAACCACTTACTGTACCCTGCCTGAGCTAGAAAGCAGTCTTCAGATGGCTGCTACTTATGTTGGGCTTGGAGGTGCCCAGGAGAGGCCAAGCCATGAACCAGGGCAGGCTGCCACCAGAGCTGGGCCTGGGGCCACTTACTGAGAGGTACAGGCATGCTGAGGCCAGCTGCTGCTTGTTTGAGAGATTTTAGGAAAGTCTGGAGCATGAGGCAAGAGAGGCCAGTTGTATGGAAACGCCACTGGATATGGCTTGGATGAGCCTGCAAGCAGGGAGGGGCAGGGCCTCAGGGATTCACCAGGCAGGGTTAAAAGTGTGAGCCAGATTGATGGAGATTCAGACATGGAGCCTTGACTGTCAGCTCTGTGACAGGGAGGGCTCAGCAAAGGAACAGTGGCCTCTGCTAGGCCTCTGTCTTGGAGAAAGCTGCCCCTCCAGCTCTTGCCCTGATTCCAGGCAAGTTAGTTCCTCCCCAAATGTCCCAGGTTCCTTGCAAGCTGGAGCTCTGAGGGAGTGATTCCAGGCCCTTTAAGGGGAACTGCCTGGGACTCCAGCAGCCTCCATTCACTAAGTCACACTCCCCGCTGGTTTTTACAGCCAGAAGTTGTGGGGACTTCTCTTCGAGGTACTGGAATCCTGAGCTGGGGGGGACGGGGAGGGGCTGGTTTGGAGCAGGGACCCTTTCATTCCTCAGGGAAACTTCCACAGCCAAAATTTCCTTCCTGATTTTAAATCTTCCACACATGGGTGTCAGACCCATGGTTCAGCAGTTCCCCCCACATCTCTACCCCTCCTACCAGTCTCCTCCTACCAGTCTCAGTGCTTCTTCTTTAATTCCCCAGTTGCAGAACTTCCGTTCAGTTAGATTGCAGGTTCTGAATGATGATTGTTCTGTATTTTAGTTGTAATTTTTGTGTGGTGTGGGAAGATGCGAGTACTGAGTTTACCTATGCCGCCATCTTGACCGGAACCTAGCACCCTCTCCCTAAAAGTACACTGGATTTGAGTTTTTTCTCCTAACAATTGGTTCTGTGTGGGATCCACCTACTTAATTCATTCACAGTTATTTATTAAGTTCCTGCTGTGTTTTGTACCTCCTGGGACTATTTCAGCCACTGAGAATACAGTATTTTACAGCAAATACCAGCACATGCAGAGCTTAAACTCCAAAGGAGGAAAATGAAAAATAAACATGCAACGTGTGAAGGGCATAGTGCCATGAACAAAGGAAGCAGGTTCAGAAGAAGGAGGATGGAGCTGGTCCTGATGCAGTGCTGACTGGAGAGGCAGGGCAGGGGGCCCTGCAGACTGGAGAGGGGAGCGGGGAGTGAGCCCTGCAGACTGGAGGGGGGAGGGGGAAGTGAGCCCTGCAGACT